AAAGGCATAATAGTGATTAGTCAGACCAAAATCCAGTCAGTAACCTTTTCTTAATCTGTTTTATCAGAGATAAAGTCGTAACACTAAAGTCATCGAAGTCTTGAGTAATGAAATAGTTACAAAGTTTAACCTTCAGTTTCATGACGTCCACATAACGGTGTTTGACGTCATCTATGGAACTTAAAAGTCACGTAAAAGCAGTATAGATTCAATCTGCAAAGGAGGTCAACCATGAGAATTTTCTTAGAGTAATGATATGTACTATAGATAGATTGAATTATTGTACGATTTGAATTGAATTGTACATTAGATTGTTGTCAACTGAAGGTCGAACGAGTCTTTAACCAACGAACAACGTGGACACTAAAAGATGTCACGCTATTCATAATACGATTCCATTTCAATTCATTGCTACTAATCTTGGGGCCATTAGTTGAAGAGGGATTTTTATTTAAATCCGTGAAACAGTGTCTGCTAATTAAAGAGCAATAAGGTGTGTMTGTACYCCAAAAGCAAAGAGTAAATCTACAACCCGTGAAACAAAGTGTGATAGTAAATACAGACAAAAGGAAACACTATGCAATAACGTACTAATGTGTGGAGAGAGTTAATTATAACCTGTAAAAAAATGAATATTAATGTCAGAAAACACTATTGCAAGCAAAGGTGTAAAAGCGTAATTTTTATTTCATGTGTTTTTTTTTGTGTTGTTTTTTACTTTATTCAAACGAGCAGACTGTAAAGATTTTAATGTGTAGTACTGTTAAGAAACAAACTCCATTTTTACATTGTCTTTTTTTTTCGTGGGTATCTGGCCAGAGGGGTTTCTAGTAAACTTCATAGTATTTCCGTATATAGAATCGTTCTGGCTATATACCCACGTAAGAAAATTGAAAGTCGGAGCTCGTTCAGTTGCTCTTTCGCTGTACGATGTCAAACACACAGATAATACTAGAAATAGAAATAACTTTTCCAGTACCGTGTTCTCTAGCATAACTCGCTGGCTCAGCAATGACCTCATCTTTCAAAATGCGCGGGAAGTTTAAAACCAAGCGGAACATCAATAGTAACCACAGCAATCGATATGAAATTTCCGTRAAGTTTAGATTTTATGCTTGCACAGTTTTTGATGATTTTACGCCGGATTTTACGTTACTTTCCTGCGCGTTTCCGCCTAGATCAGTGTCCAACGTAGCAGAACTGAACATCTTCTGCACAAAGTCGTGMATTTTTCTCGTTTTACCTCTGCGCTGTCTTCTCTAACGTTAGTTTGTGGTCGCACGTTCGCCTGATAGTCTCCCTGGGCATGTCTGGGCATCCGGTGGAACCTGCAGGTTGTAGGTGTGGCTGCAATAACCATGTACAAACACGCGAATAGTGATGTATCTATTGAGTATGATTTAATCAGTTATAAATAACAAGGGGTATTTAATAATGGATTATTTCGATGCCTATATATACACGAGGGGTTTTACCTCAAACACATCAAATCATTTACAAGCACCCAAAGATCATCAAGCGTTATGGATAAGGTATGGACAACTATACCAGAGTTAGTGTATATACATTTAAGAC